AGGGATGGGAATTCAGAGCACTTTACAGACATTGTACCTAAATTTACAATCACAAAATACCAATTAAGACAAAAAATATTCAAATTATATCATCGGACCAACCGTGCTAAATTAACAGCTTATGATGTCAAAGATATTCTACTGTTTATATAATTTGCATCTAATGCAATTATCAAAAATATGCTGAAGACCTTCAAAGGTGAAAATATAAAGTTCTCTTTATGTAGCAACTGTTGTACAATACAGTACTAATATAACAGAGTAAATACTATCTTTGTATGCCTTTTAAAGAGGCTTAGTAACAGTACTGAATACAGGACTGTCTTCAGTATTATTTATATAAGGGTTGTAATGCTTCAGTATAGATAGCAGTATTATCTATACATATTACCTCAGGATAATATGTATTAGCTTAAAATCTGCATGTGGTAATTTCTTGGGTTAACAGTGTCACAATTCCCTGCCACTGAAGTTACCTTTCTAGGAAAGGAATTCACGACTGCAGTAAGACCAACAGCTGTCTGCCTCTGTCCTTCAGTAAGGTGCAAACAGGAGTGTACTGTGAGAGCAAATGGAGAGTCATGACTCACTGAGATGAATAATGCAATAAAAAATATATCTGTGAGAGGGAAAGGAGGCTACACTACTGACAACAGAAGTACATTCAATACAACCAAAATTCTCTCACTCAATACTGAACAGACAGAATATCAACTGCCTCGCATGTTTCTGATATAACTCTAAATACTGCTGTCATCTATCAAATACTGTGTGACATCACAAGCAATGAAGTAACCTTAGGTAACAATATAAAGCCTGCTGAATTACACTACCACTGTTCACAGCAATAATTAAAGGTTCATGTTTTGTTAACAGTAATCTGCACCAGGCCCACACCTACACTGTCTTGCTACAGGCCATACAATATACTGAGGTACTAATCAAAGGCACAAACAAACCCAATGTCCAATTTGAGACTATCAGTAACAGTCAGCCGAGCGCCACGGCAGCCAAAAAACGTTTTATTATAGCAATTTATTCCCCAAGCCTCTATTTCATGGAGAGCATCTCGGGGTCTAGGAGTGCAAACGGCAATAAGGTCGAAAATCATATTCTTTGGAAGGGTACGTCAGAGTTCAAAGTCGACGGAGAGAATAATCTTCAGTTTCAGTAACACACCCAGCTATGTCTCACATGTGGAGCAGGCCAATGACGCTCTATGCTCCATACTGCATGGCCGCTTGGTGCACCACACATTCTATCAGCGCCTGGCACGCTTAGTACCTTGTAAACACGTCTCTGCCGGCACCCCCCCCCCCCCAAAAAAAAATTCGTTTTATGCTGCTGATCCGTCGCAACATGAAAGTACAATTATAACTACCTGCACACAAAAAATCATTGCAATATCTTTAATGGTGGGAAAGTTATATCACTCGTTTTAAGGTTATGTAGTGTGTTTTGGTTTATATAAGTGGAGAAAAATGCAGTTATATTTTTTTTCTTAAAAAATGCCATTGATTTTTGTTCCTGAAACTATCATAGCATGAAAGATGATGCTTTAAGCTACACAACAACAAAAATACTAAAATATCTTGAATGGTTCAAAAGATGTGGCATTTTGAAAGTTTAAAAACTATAACTGCATTTTTGTTTTCTTTTTATTTTGGCGCTCGGCTGACTATGTTACTGATGGCCTCATTTATAGCTGAAATATTTGTTCTCATTCCCTGCAATATATTTGTGAATGTTTTTGTGTACATGTGTAAAAGAATATGCATGTATGGTATTTTTGTATATTCATTTTAATTTTAATATTTGTGTGTGTGTTTGTATCCCTGTGTTTACTCCTATATGTGTCAGTGCATGGACATATGTTCATACAGCTACATCGTATAAGGTAATAATTCTCATCCGCTTCTTTAATTAAATAATGTATTGAAATCAGTTGCATAACCATGTAGATGTCATGACAACCTTCCTCTATATCAGTAATTCTATAATACATAATATACAGCAACTGTGCATAGTCCCTAACACCACACTAGGACTCTATCTACAGAGTTTGAAGGCACCTGTGAACTTCAACAGTGATCACATACTTAACTACAACCACTCACTCCAGAGTACATCACTTCAGTCTATAGTACAATTAATTACTCCATAGTGGTCACTTACTCTACAGAACAATCAATTATTCCAGAGTACAATCACTTACTCCTGAGTAAATCACCCATTCTATATTACAATCACTTACGTACTATGAGCATAATGTACAATCACTCACTTCACAGTATTAGTGATAAAAACACTTTCCAGCTTGCTTGGTCTTGTACATTACTCACTACATTATTCACTATTATCCAAATTTACTATATTTCTCAGTCAGACATTCATATCACTTGATTATACCCATTAAAAAAAAAAAACTTTTGCTACAGTTATCAATCATTCCACAGCTACAATTAACTTAAATCTACTAATATAGTAGACTATAAATGATGCAAACAGTTTAAAATCCTTTGCTGACTTACACTTTTATGACAGCCGTGGCATTCTTTGTCCCCACCCCCCAGCCATGATGCCCTCACATAAACACCCTTTTCATGGCCACTTTGCCCTTTGCATGAACTTCCAGGCTTGTTTTCATCACGTGTTTCCTGTTTTGATTCACATCAAGGTCTTACCAGTATCTCTTATGCTGAGCCTGTTTTGTTTTCATTCTTATTCAAAAGATACATTTAGCTTCAAATTGCACATGTCAGTTGTCATAAAAGCTGGCAATGAGTTGTCTGGTAAATGCATGTCAGTTTTTTGTCCCCCTTTCATTAGTTTTTTCTCTTCAACTTGTAACTTCACCATCATTGGTTTGTATACTCTGGAAGGAATGAAAACATTAACCAGCGATCACATATGAAAAATTTGAGCCAATGAATTTGTAGGTCTTTGTTGCTGCTATTAATACAAAGATTTCTATTTTTTTAATTTCCAACAATCTAAAAATTATCCCTGCCACTACTACCTTAATGTGCATAATCTAAGGACCAATGATCTTCAGTCTTGAAAATTCATCAAGTTTTGAGAGATGACTCCTCACTCCTACTGCTACTTATTGCTACTGTACTGGGAAAACTGATCCCCTTTTACTCCCTGAAGACTCTGTCTCAAAGTACTGTACCTACTAAGAAAGTGTAAAGATCGTAACCCCAGGAACCTTAGCTAGTGATAGCGATGTAAAAACTGAATAAAGTTATTAGTTAGATAATCCTTGACCTTCATACCAGCATCACAGAAGACATCCTCTTAGCAATAAGTGTGGCCACAAATACCCATGTACTGTAAGTGTGTATCACACAAAGAGAACAGTTATCTATAAACAAGGTTGGAGCAGGAATCTAAGATGGGTTGATAAGGTTTGAGCACTCTGTAACTGATGTCAATGAATAAACATACTAAAACATCTCATATTTTGCTCACAGCAAAACTCTCAAGCCACCTCTCTTGTTCAGGTACCTTCTTACCCAGTGGATATTCTCCTGGACCCTGGTTCAAAGGTGATCAATAATCTGATGATAAATCCATCACTAATTGAGGCCCTAGGGTTACAACCTCTAGACTGGCTGATTAAAGAGGTGCAAGATCCTAACATACAATATTTCCTGGCCCATAAGATTCAATTTTTTCCTTAAAAATGTGTTTCATATTACCCTGCATCTTATCAACTGAAGGTCATATTTAAGGTAGGAAGTTCCATTCCAAACACATGTAATGAAACTATAAAAATTATGGAAAAATCATTACAATACTCTAATGTGGCTTAGAAATAAAACTATAAAATAATAAAATGAAGAGCACGTGTATGTGCGTGTGTGAAATGAACATTTTTGTGGAGGCAATGGGCTGTAACTGCGTCGCGAGCCCAGTTGTGCTCCCTAATTCCATCCCCTAACATGACATAATGGCATATACGTACACAGCACAGTGCAGCAGCAGCCACACTTCTCTGAGTCAGCTGGGCAACTGCCTGGCTGACCTGTGTCACGTCACCCAGAGGATGTGTGAGTGTGAAAGGAGATATTTTTTGAACATAAAATATGTACTACAGTGACCCCTCGGTTAACGAAATCAATCCGTTCCAGAAGGTCGTTCGTTAACCGAAAAGTTCGTTAACCGAAACCATTGTTTCAATGGGTTTTTGGGTAATTGGTTCCAGCTCACCGAAAATTGCCTAAATTCAACAAAAATGGTAGAAAAGTTCACTTACTTTGAGATGTGTATGTAGCAGGCTCCTGGATGATGATGATGATGATGGGATTTAGAATGGGGGTGGAGGAGAAGGAAGAAGAGAAGGCATTGGGGTGGAAGAGAAGTCACCCCATGGCGCCATTTCACCCATAAAATTTTAGTTCTCTTGGTGTATTTCAAGATTATTTTCTTTAAATCAACACTGCACTGCATTATATATTGTCAATATGTAAAATATATTTCAAAATGACCAATAATTTGCTTGGAAACACAGAAAAAAAGTGTTTAGTTGAAGAGAGTCTCAAGCAAGATGTTACCTCCAGTGAAAACAGAGAGAGACTAACGCCTGTTTGCTGTGTTAAGAGGCTGGATGCCGTGCATTAAACTAGTCACTTTACCTTCAATTATGTTCAATAATTGTTAAAATGACTAAAAAATTGAATATTAAACTTTTAAAATTATTGAATAGTATAAACTTCTTGATATTTACCAAAATAGTAAGGAATTTAAGCCCTAGAACCGATTAATGTATTGGCAGACTGAAACTAAAGCTGGATGCCCGGTCAGTGCAAGCGAAAACATGTTGAGGTCGGTTCGTAAGAAATTCGTTAACCGAATTTTTGTTCGTTAACCGAATTGAAGATCCTTATGGAAGGCAGTTCGTTAACCGAAATTTCGTTAACCGAGGCGTTCGTTAAACGAGGGGTCACTGTATTGTATTTTTTTCCAAAATAACCTTAGTTATATTAGGGTGCGTATTAACAGCCAAAACAACTCATGGGCCCTGAAATACGGTAGATTATAAATGGATGTACAATATACATGCATTAAACTAAAGGAGTTAATCACATAAAGATACCTACAGTTAGATAAAATCTAGATGAAACTGATTACTGTAGTTTAGGTTGTTCTTAGATACTTTCCTCTTCATATCTAGGTTAAGGCACAACTTTATAGGAATTGCTGTACTTGTACTATTCAGTAAATCTAAATCTGTTATTGTAGTTACAATTATAAAACTAATTTCTAAATATGAAGCAGACGAATTGAACATCAAGTATGAATGGAAGACTGCAATCTTACCTCCGGCATTCAGATTCTTTGAGGGATCGACAGCTTCACTGACGACTCCATCCGTAGATATCACACCTTCCATATCTCCATCTATAACCATCTGTACTTGCTGGCAGAAAATAATTCTGTGAGTATGACTAAGAAAATATAAACTTTTGAAAAATTTTCCATATACAGTATACTGTAATACCAAAGGAGACAAACAGACATCATTTCTGGCCTTGTTCTCATAAACCTGGGTGAAAGTCTTTGCAACTAGCAATTAGCCTTCACAATTAGAGAATAAACTGCTTTCTTGTTACAATTGGGGGTTTCTATCATAGTCAGAAAGTACTGATCAGCAAACAATTACCGTAAAGGTAGAACAGAAAGTCATGTAAATCAACAGAGCTACGACTAATGGTATATGGTGTATAGCCACTAGTCCACTTGCTTTAAATTAATTAGTGTTATGGAAATAAACATCATTAAGAATATGGGTAAATGCTTGGTCTTGGTCACACCTCATGTTAGTTGGCAGACAATATATCAGGGACACCTATAAATGCCAATACTGTAATCTCAGGAGATTCTTTGATAATCTAGGATAAACAGAAGGAGGAAAAGAAGTAGGATGAATGAAGTTAGAAGAGGAGGAGGAGAAAGAGAAGGGCAGATGGTGAAAGAGGAAGAAGAAAAACCTGAAAAAAAAGAGAGAGAGAGAGAGAGAGAGAGAGAGAGAGAGAGAGAGAGAGGAGAGAGAGAGAGAGAGAGAGAGAGAGAGAGAGAGAGAGAGAGAGAGAGAGAGAGAGAGAGAGAGAGAGAGAGAGAGAGAGAGGGAGAGAGAGAGAGAGAGAGAGAGAGAGAGAGAGAGAGAGAGAGAGAGAGAGAGAGAGAGAGAGAGAGAGAGAGAGAGAGAGAGAGAGAGAGAGAGAGAGAGAGAGAGAGAGAGAGAGAGAGAGAGAGAGAGAGAGAGAGAGAGAGAGAGAGAGAGAGAGAGAGAGAGAGAGAGAGAGAGAGAGAGAGAGAGAGAGAGAGAGAGAGAGAGAGAGAGAGAGAGAGAGAGAGAGAGAGAGAGAGAGAGAGAGAGAGAGAGAGAGAGAGAGAGAGAGAGAGAGAGAGAGAGAGAGAGAGAGAGAGAGAGAGAGAGAGAGAGAGAGAGAGAGAGAGAGAGGGAGAGAGAGAGAGAGGAGAGAGAGAGAGAGAGAGAGAGAGAGAGAGAGAGAGAGAGAGAGAGAGAGAGAGAGAGAGAGAGAGAGAGAGAGAGAGAGAGAGAGAGAGAGAGAGAGAGAGAGAGAGAGAGAGAGAGAGAGAGAGAGAGAGAGAGAGAGAGAGAGAGAGAGAGAGAGAGAGAGAGAGAGAGAGAGAGAGAGAGAGAGAGAGAGAGAGAGAGAGAGAGAGAGAGAGAGAGAGAGAGAGAGAGAGAGAGAGAGAGAGAGAGAGAGAGAGAGAGAGAGAGAGAGAGAGAGAGAGAGAGAGAGAGAGAGAGAGAGAGAGAGAGAGAGAGAGAGAGAGAGAGAGAGAGAGAGAGAGAGAGAGAGAGAGAGAGAGAGAGAGAGAGAGAGAGAGAGAGAGAGAGAGAGAGAGAGAGAGAGAGAGAGAGAGAGAGAGAGAGAGAGAGAGAGAGAGAGAGAGAGAGAGAGAGAGAGAGAGAGAGAGAGAGAGAGAGAGAGAGAGAGAGAGAGAGAGAGAGAGAGAGAGAGGAGAGACAGAGAGAGAGAGACAGAGAGAGGAGAGAGAGACAGAGAGAGAGAGAGAGACAGAGAGAGAGAGAGACAGAGAGAGAGAGAGACAGAGAGAGAGAGAGGAGAGAGAGAGAGAGACAGAGAGAGAGAGAGAGAGAGAGAGAGAGAGAGAGAGAGAGAGAGAGAGAGAGAGAGAGAGAGAGAGACAGACAGAGACAGAGAGAGAGAGGAGAGAGAGAGAGAGAGAGAGTAATAGTTAAAGAATAAGAAAACTGAAGTAGAAGAGGATGAGGATTAATGACTATTAATTTCAGTCAACTCACCTGCTGGTCCACCACCATGGCATTACCATCAGCATTTATAATGATTTGTTGATTGCCAGTGCCCAGGTGGTACCCAGCACTCTGCAAGGCATCCATCAGGGCTGAGATATTGGCTTGTTCCATGGTTACTGTACTGTTCTCATCCACCATCTGGGGGGTAATATAATGTAAAATCATCATCATTGTATTCTGCTGGTGTTGAATTAAATGTATTTGTATCAAAGTCATGCATTTTTTAAACCTCCAAGACTTTGCCTATGGACCAGTGTGACCAGAGTAAAGAGTAACAGAAACTTTCTCACAATTGCTTTCATTCACACTCCAAATATCACCACAGAAACACACACCAGTAATGCCTTAAATTCCCCAAACCAATTCCAAGCTTTGCTCTACAATCCTGCTAATCATAAACAAAATATGTCAGTGTCTATGTTATAAATGTAATAGTATGCTTCCATCACAAATACAACATGTTTGTTTTTGTGAGATATAATAAAATCAGTAGCTTGTTCTTAGAAACTATGACAAGTATAACTAATAGCATGATTTTGTAATATTAAAATAATTTAATGAATTGTAATTAACAAATATTTGACTTAAAACAGCAAATAAAATAATTAACAAGAATGGATAAGCAGATATCAGTTCTCCTTAGAAGGCAACTGTTTGAGGGTTAGCTGTTCTTAGGAGGAAGTTGTCTGAATGGCTGGATGTCCCTGTAAGATTGCTGTTTAAGGGCAACTATTCAAAAGCAAGGTCTTCTAGAACCTTGAAAAAGTACATCCAACTAGATATGAGAAAAATATCGGCAGTACAATAGATATGGACATAAGAGACTGCATTAAAAGAATTTGTTCAAAGAATTAAGCCACATTTCTAATTGATACTCTAAGCACTGACTGTACCTTAATTTGCTCAATATGACCATGCTGGTTCATGATGTGGGTTGCCTGGGCATGGTCTGGGGGAACAACCTCATATTCCCCTAGATTCATTTGTCGCAGATACTGAATGCCCTCCATGCCAGCCATCCCATCTAAGAAAACAAGATTGTCAAAATTAGGAACAAATTAAATGTGAAGCATAAGTCTCATTTTAGGAAGAAAAAAAATAATAATATTTATACCAATGAAACAATTACAAATTAATGAACAAATAAATATTTAATCTTCTCTTTTCATTTTGATTGCTTTTATCTTTACCAGATTTGGGGAGTAGAGACCAAGGAAGATTTATCGGCTGTAATTAAGAACATTAAAACACACATACTGTATATAAGCCTATCACCAAATCACAACATAAATTTGAACAATTGAAATATTCTTCATTTTTCAGTAGTAAACTGTACCTTTTGACATCTGAGCCTGAGACACAAGGTTGACAGCAGTAGCCAGGAGATCAACAGAATTAATTCCTTCATTCCCCTCAGTGGCTCCTGCTGATATGGCAGCATCTTGGTCAATGGCATAACTCATGGTTTCACCTGCACCCATGGTACCAATGATTATACCTTCATCTGTGTGAGGCATTGACGAATCTAAGGAATGTTCATCTTCTTCCTCACCTTCCATGACTGGCTCAGTCATTGATCTGAAAAGTGATAAACAGTGATATACACAATTAAGTCCTGTGGACAGTCAGCCAGGTATACTGTTAAATTGTGAGGCATAACTTTACAATTGTATGCATCATCACTCACAAAATTAACCTTGGTTAGCTTCATAGTAAGTTATATTCACACAAAATTCAAAATACTGTATAATGACAAAGAAATGTGGAGTCCAATAATGTCCTTATAAAAATTAAACCATGTTCTTCCCAAATATGTAAATATAACTTCATTTACCAAGGTATTCTCAAGTTTATACAAACATACCTAACAATTTCAGCACTGAAGCAAACCATTTGAAATCCCCCAACATACTCTCCTTTAACTACACAGAAGTAATTACAATACTCTTAAAACGGATTTGATACACCCACAACCTAGTCATCATTAGTGTCTCAGAGTTTATTGAAGTTCATATCTATACCTAAACTAAAATTTTCCTTCAGTATATTTTGAAAAATACATAACTAGTACACAGTACAAAATCAAACACAAAAAAAAAAATCAATATATATCTGTGTGCTGGACTTACGGCCTCACAACAGCAGGACTGATGACCAGTGGCTGGTTAACCCGTACATCATTATCAGCAGAAGTGATGGCAGAGGTGCCTGGCTCTGAAGCAGGCTTAGCATCAGATTCCTGGTGGGTAAATAGTTTCTCATTACTTTAAACATGAACAAGAACTTTAAAAATTGTACAGTACAGTACCTGTATAAGTCTCACTATAAAATAATTTTTCAAGTCACATCATGAAAAGAAAATTATAACTACACATTTTCCTTCAAGTAAACACAACCACATCAACAATACTGCATATATCATTACCTCAAGTTTAGTCAGAGTGTTTTCATCGTTGATTCCCACAATTTCATCTTCATCCTCAGCAGTTGCTTCAATATCCATGTGAACTTGTCCATCACTGTCTATACGCTGGATCACAGTGGCAACTACAGGAACCTGCAAGAAACAATGGCTTTTCAAAAGAAATTTCAAAGGATCATGAGATAATAAAACCATCAAACACTAGATAATTGCTACCTTCTTATTATACCTCTCCCAAAGGATGGAGAGGCATAAGTCTCTATTTATTTCCCTTTTTATTTTCTTTTTACAAATAATCAACAAGTAATCATCACAAATTCAATTCTAGGTCAATTATTTTTAAACTTGCCATGTTTGTACCTTGGTGCAATTGATACAAATCATCCACTGAGTTAGATGTGTGGGCATCAAAGCCTCAGGCAATATGAGAATATAAAACATATCTCAAAAACAGTAAGTCCAATACACCCAAATACCCTTTGGGGGTCTTTCTCAAGATTTTCAAGGGTCAAAAGTTAAAAACGTAAAAATATATACCCTACTGTACTGTATTTTGATGTGCAAGTTGCATCAGCTTGTAAATTCTCTTGTTATCAATTAATGATATTGTGTTATGTCAGTGTTTTAGACATACGATTCCTTAAACAAATTACCAATTACAAGAAAAAATTTAAAGGGGAGGGCAACCTTGTGTCTCCAACAGCCACTCTTTACTATCCAGCACGGATGAACCAGGCAGATTTCTTCATGCATATTTATAGTTTCCTAACTGCATACATTTGTGAAGGAAAGAAGGGGAAGAAATGAACCATAGCCACAACCCTACAATTAAACATTATAAGTCAATCCATAATAACAGCAATGTGGGTCTGGTACCATGTAACAATGAAACAGGACACATAAGTCTCCTGACATTTGTGAACCAAAGATGATTTTATTGAAAGCTGGTGGGGATATGGTCAGATTTATGGTTAAATTTTCACATATATAAAATGTACTGAACTCCTCCTCAGTAGAGATTCAAACCCAATGGCCTATCAGCCTTGTATGATAACCACCACCATACCCACTCAGAAACCAATGCAGGAGATGGGAAGGAATCAGCAACTACAGATAACAGAAATATATAAAAATCCTTCATACCTTGATCTGTACAGCCTTTGTTCCTCTTTGGTGACAAGACACTTTGTACTTAACTGCACTTTTAAGCTCATTGGCACTAGCTGGGACAAGCATCTGTAAGAAAAATAACATTCTAAACCAACATAAAATTATTTTCATTCTTAACTATTTACCTTAATCCTTATCAGAAAGATATCCATATCAATAAACATCTGGTAAGGCACTTTGAGCAAATGACAATGACTGAAAGGATAGTTGTGTTGCACTAAATTCTGGTTGCCGTGTCTCAGCGGGAAAGGGCTTGCATGAGTAAGGAGTTGGGTGGTCCAAAAAACATGTGAAATTGCAAGGTAAAAAATCATAGAGCCATGATAAGCAGTTTTCTTCAACTACAAGTAAGAACTGCTCACACCAAATCCTCAACAAATACATTTCTCTGTCAAAGGGGTCTTCAAACAGGGTCACAAAGCCATCCACGGGAAACCCATAATGCAATGAAACTTGCAGATACGGTACTTTAATTTTAACCTTTAATATGCAACTATGGGAAAACCTGTACCGTTGTATGCATGAAAATGCATAGAAAAAGCTCACAAAACATAACTTCTTACAAAGTTAAAGATATGCTTGCAAAAGTATGAAAAATTAATAATAATCATCATTTATCTGCCTTTGTTGTTTCATGGTGGAGTGTGGAAGTAAGTGTCTGGAGGCTAAGTAACTCAAGCACATAGTGAGGGCACAGAAACAAGAAGGTGACAAGCGGATTGCCACTAGTTGCACAACATGGCTCAGGATCATCTATATCTTTACTTATACCTAGAATTTTTTTTCAAGCTTACACTTCACTAACACTGTTTTTTTTACACTACACTTCCCTCAAGCATTCCCTACCTCACAGGAAGTAGATAGTATTGGGTCCCTGTGGGAGACGGTGATGAACATGAGTCTATCATGCAGACTGTGATACTACTGAGAGTCTGGTGATGCATGGGTGGTATGAGGAGGTCTAGTGGGACACATGTAGAGCTTTAAGAATGCTACTCTTTGTGTGCAATTTTAAATTAGTGGTACAGTTTCAAGCAAGAGTGTTGATACACTTATGTTTGTGAGTGTTGATACACTTATGTTTGTGAGTGTTGATACACTTATGTTTGTGGCAGCACATAATAATATCATTAATAGAAACTATGAAATGGATGTATTCAAGTTTAATATCTGGCAAATGTCTAAACAATGATTTTTCATTTTCTTTTTTAGTATAGTAACTTACATGTTTACTTCCTAAGGCAGATTGAACTTTGACCACAACAGGAACTCCTTTACTGGGCTTGAGAAGAGCAAAAGGCGTTCTTCCATCTGCTAAAGCCCGATGCATTGCCTTTGTGTCTATTGGTTCAATCAAAATACCACTCTTCACCTGAAAAGAAATATATTTAGTAGCAAATACACAAGAAGAAAAAGAAATAATGGAGGATATAATTTTGGGGGGGGCTGAGAAATAAATTCTTCCTTCTGCAATAACCTTTGCACATTCTACAATATATGAGTGCACTATCAGTTAAGGTTGCTGCTGGTGGAACAACCTCTTAGTGGACTAACATCCCGCCAAGAAGTAGAATAACTTATTGTCTGCAAATACTTGCACATGCTAACAGTCTGGACATTAGAATCTATCCAGCTACCTTGCACCATAATAGGAAGAGGTTTGAATGAATAAGCTTTTCACTGCACAAAACTATGTAAGTTAAATAATATCCATATAATTATGTCAAATCTTCAAGTGAAATGTTATCTAGTCGAGGGACTCTGGTCAACAAAATCCAAACCCATATAAACCACAGAAAAAATTACTGGAAACTTGGGAAATCGTCCACAGGGAAAAGTTATATTATGTCTATTCTAAAGTGCATTTTACTTCCCAAATTGACAATAACATTAATGTCAATCATACAATGTACAATGGAAAGTTCTTAAAGGTCAAGAGTAACGATTCCATAGGCACCATCGATATAATTATCATAGCATTGTATCATACATACCTTTAACTTTTATGAATAACCAATGTTATCTTGAAACCTGCACATGTAGTACAGATATGCTGAAAATGAATTATTTCTTAATGCAGGGAATATTTCAAATAACAACTAAATTTCTTTACCCTTTACTTATAGTGAAGAAGCATCGGGACTTACGTCTGACTTAGGCTTCATCTTCCGCTGCCTTGCAAAGCCCTCATTTGCACCTATCTGGTGATGGTGAGAGGTCATTAAGTCAAGGCAACATACATAAATCATAAAAATATGTTGTGAGATACTTCATGGCATGTTTCTTAAATATCAATATACTACATTTTCAATATTATGATGTAAGATATGCATAACATTAAAAATGGTGGTTAAATATGAATTTGTGAAATTATTCCTTTTAATATGCATCCAGTGTTTATGATATAATGTTGGCTACTAACCTCCTGGAAAGTTCTATCTCCATTTGGCAATTGAATGATGCGGACATTTCCAATCTTTCTCTTCCGAAGGAGTGAATTATTATTAGTCACCATCCTGGATCCCGAACCTGACAACATCCGTGAACCGTGTACCTGAACTCCATGTTTATATTCTTCATGCTGCCTTAACTGAGCTCTTTCGCAAATGCATGGTCACAATTGTTACACTTGTATTTATCAGGTACATACTGGTAGTTGAGCGTCCCATCTGCATGTGACTGAGAAAGAAATAACTGAATAAATAACCAAAGTTCAGAGTACAAACACAGCCCAACAAACACTGTAAAGGTGGCTATACTAAAATCCAATTGTGATGGTAAATGATATAAGGCACCCCACAGTAACTGCATATGACATTTATGTTAATTACCTTGGATTATTATCAGTGTGGCATCCTCCTATCTAAAGTTAAACAACAGCTAAGGCCACATTCATATCTCTTCGCTTCTGTATTTCTCATTCTGTGCAATCTATGTACAGTTGACTTATATTGTAAGAATATCTAATGAAATGATCATGTGATCCCATGAAATAAACTTTTTGTCCAAGATTGTCACATTAACAACCAGAGAAAAAAGGCCAAAAATGTTGAACAAAATGGGTGGTGTAGAAAAAAGGGCTTGCCCTGTGAGTTACTACAGTAAAACAATAAGAATTCATGGCCAGGCAAATTAAATGAAAAAACTTCCAAAACCCATAACTTTGAAAGATTCACGTGAGCATCTCAACAATATAGGTAGCACCACAGCCCATTAATAGCTATGATCCATGAGACTGCACTATTAATTTATCAATAAATCAATTTTTTTTTTACATGAAAATTACATCTGAAGATGATAATAGTCAAAACACGGAAGCACTAAGGTGAATTATAAAAAAATTAAAATTGTACTTCACATAATCACTCATTTAACTTACCTTTGCCTTGTGACACTGAAGATTAGAAGATTGATTGAAGCCTCTCCCACAAATGTCACATTTGTATGGCCGTTCATTTGTGTGAGTAAAAAGATGATTCTTTAAATTACCTGCAAAGTATGGAAATAACTGTCAGATAAATGAAAAACTCTGGGACAATATGAACACCACAGACTGACATAAGACATGGATGCCAAAAATCCAAAAATAAGTCCCAAGTAATAAATCGAGCCAAAATTACCTAAACTATATACTGTATATATATACAAATGAGTAGTAAAGCAATTTTATACAGATATATGAGTACAGTAATTGATTACATAAAGTGTCGGCACAAAGGTCTGCATGCATATTTAAGCACTGCATGCTGTCTACTAGGGTCACACCATAACTGAACACATCTATGGAGACAGTTAAAACAAATGATGGTACAGGTATAGTGAATGAGGAATATGTGGTGCTCTTAGTTGCATTACAGTAAAGCAGTTAATGAGTTGCAGGAATGGGGAAAATTATACTTATCCCAATCTTCAAAGACAATAATTACTCATGAACACACTTACCCTTTTGGTGGAAAGCTTTGCCACATACATGACATCGATGTTGCTTCTCCTCAGTGTGGGTCTTCTTGTGGGATATTAAGGTAGATACTCTACTGAAGGTTTTCTGGCATATATCACAGACATACGGTCGTGACTGAGGAGATGGAAAAATGTTTTTTTCACTATTTACATCTATTTTCCATGTCTGTGTTAGTTAGCTTTGATTCAGCCAATTGTATGCTCAACAGCAGCCTTGTGACCACTCAGCTGGGAAACTGCCTCTTGAAGAACATAAGCAATGACAAAGCAAGGGGTCAAGGAGTGTCTTGTTTGAGTGGTTATGGTTCTGTATGAGGGCTTGTGAACCTGAGAGTGAATGGTGAGGAAAGAGGGGTCCATCAAGGGCCTGTCTTGAGCTCCCTATTGTTTATCATGGTGATAGAGGCACTATAACAAGATTTTAGGACAAGTCTGCCCTGGGAGTTGTTGTAGGTTGATGACTTAATTGTACATAGCAGATAGTATTAAAGAGGGAGTGGAGAAATTTAAGAAATGGAAAGATGGAATAGATACACATTGAAGGAGTAATTCAGTAGTCAAAATTTTTTGGCAAAGCTGAAGAAGTTAAACTTCCTGTTGAACCATTATGTAAAAACTATAGGACACATGCCTATACAGTTACTTACTCTTATGTACAGTCTCTGTACTGTAAAGGTAAATGTGTTTAATGTGATAATACAGATATACTGTACATTCATAATTAAGGATTAATTATGCTTATTTTTAAATTCTATTCATAAATTCAAATTTGAAGACTAATTATTTGCTAGAACAAGTACTAATGACAACAACGATAAGTGATGATTATTTCCATTATTTTTGTTTTTGTGAATGCTTTGGAGATGAAAAAACTGTGTTTTACTAAGACAAAGATTAATTAACTTATTGGACAGCTAAGCAATAGTAGCCTGGGTTATAGATGACACTGTAGGAGTGAAACCACAAAATGACACAGTAAAGAGCATGAGGAAGGGGATCACTAAGGTACCTTAACAGTAAGTTATCTTAATGTAGATTGAATACAAGTACTGTACTGTATATACAGAAATAGGGACAACACAGTAGTAAAATTAATATAAATTACCATCTTCATTGCTAGGACAAAACTATGCTGTGTGGCAAGTTGCCAAGTTTGATCAGGGCTTATGAGGGTAAATTATCTCTCTCACCAGGTAAACCTAAGCTGAGAACCTCTTACAGAAAGGATGAGAACCTGTTACAGGAAGGCTGAGAACCCATTACAGAAAGGCTAAGAACCTGATTATTACCTCTGAATGAGTGGCTTTGTGTTGTGAGAGCGTGGACATCTGTCTAAAGCTTTACATTGATTACATCTAAAATTACGCTCATCTGTGTGAGTAGGTAAATGCCTCATCAAGGTGTATTGATGCATGAACTCCTTCCCACCTGGAAAAAAAATAATAATAATAAATTAATTAATAAAAAATAGTAAACTACATTAAAATATGTTGCACAGTACAGTATATCTTTTCTATTACTGTAGTGTACACAGGGTTTGCAGTTTTGTAAAGTCAATATTCAAGGTCATTCCCATTGTAGTGGTAGTCACGGGATTAGGTCATCATACTCAAGGGATTAAGTCATTGCACTCAGAGGTTAAGTCATTGTACTTAAGGGATTAATCATCGTAGTCAAGGGGTTAACACTGATTCCCAACCACAAAAAAAATAAAGGGCAATTTAATAACAAATAACAAGCACACTAAAGCCATACTCACATATACCACATTCCCAGAGTTTTATATAGTCTTCCCCTCTCTCGCTTCATATACTTGACGAAATGTAATCTGCTTCTTGGGTCGTCTCTGTGCACTCTGGTGTACTTGGTGGAGCGATCAGCCATCATTAGGTCTGTCATGGTTTTAGAAGGATCATCCCCCTAAATAAAACAATATGGATAAGAATACTGTATGATGTATATAAAATTCACGCTTCTTACATTTTACCTATATTGTACAGTCCCCATTCAAAAATATATGCAACATATCCCTCATTTTTCCCTTTAATTATAGTCATCCCAATAGTAAGTCACCAAGAGCTACACAAATTCTCCCATCATTTAATATCATTCATTCTATCTAACTGTCTGAGAGAAGATATTCTTGTACAGTATTCTCGATACTATAAAGATGTGACATGTACTGTTCTTTCCTACTACACTGAACCCTTGCATTACAGAATGGATGTGTTGTTGAAAAAGTGGCCATATCACAAAATATTTTTCCCATATACTCCCATGTTCAAGGTGAAGATGCAATCACACGGAAATTTGTTGGTCAACACAAGTAATAAAAACACTATAAATGGAGATAGAGTACAGCTCCTCCCCGACTTACGACCTACTCGACTTACGACTTACCGCACTTACGACTACTTTGCCTCAGTCGTACTACAATTTTGTCAAATTACGTATTTTAGAGTCCCAACGTCAGTACACAGACAAAATTTTTGTTTGTAATTCACTTTAAAATGGCTGGGAAGCTTAAACGTGAGAGTTTTGTGGTGCTGAGAAGAAAAAGAGACACCCATTTTAGATTTTCTATGTATTATTTAAGCATTTTCGACTTACGACCATTTCGACTCACGACCTGGATTTGGGTCCCTAACCCCGTCGTAAGTCGGGGAGGAGCTGTATACATTTTCTAGCACATACTGTATTAATTTAGTTTAGTCATCTTATAATTTCACTAACCACAAATAATAGCAAATACATAAAAATACATAAGTTTGAGGAGTGGAGCTAAGTTTTTCTCCAGGATCACACCTCTGTAAAACATTGAGTGTTACATCCATTGTAATTCCTTAATGTTTTTGTATAGTTGTAGTACAGTTGGTCCTCATATTACGCGGTCCCGCATTCCGCGTTTCACCGTTAACGCGTGCCTTGCCAGAACCTATCATTTTCACATTCCGCGGTCATGAACCCCATTACACGGAGAGCGGCTGGCAAGCCGCGCCATTTTTGGATCCAAACTCCGCCATCCGCCATGTTGTGTAAGAGGTGCGAAAATGAAGCACTAAGGTCGCCCAGTCATCAAAACATGACCAGTTCTTCACCGCCACCCACTACAGCCGCCCAAGTCAGTGATAGTGATAATTATAGTGAGGATGGACTTATATGAACTTTGGGGTTTGACAAAGAGGCCCTGCGCCTCTGTGGTGGATAGTGATACAATTGATACAAGTGATACAGGTGAGGGCCAATAATCTGCCCTCTGCCTCGGAACCAACCGCCCATCCCGGTGCCCAGCCATCTTTTCTACTAATGTAAGTAAAAAACCTAATATTATTGATATTTCTCTTAATTATTAATTGTGTGTGCATGCCATCATAAAGTTAAGATAATATTTTTACTACAACATAGTTGTGTGTCGTCAAAAAGTGGAGTTTGGGAATTGGCCCGGACTCCATTTCAATTAATCCCATATGTTATGTTATTCACTTTACGCGTTTCTCACTTTCCGCGGTACCCTCCGGGTTACATTAACCGCGTAATATGAGGACCAACTGTACTTGCAATTGAACATGGTGGCCTTTTTGCTGACATCTTGAGGGGAAATACAGTTCAGAGTGTGTAAAATCTTGAAAGAACTACAGCTAGATGCAGAAGCAAACCATAACTGATGCACTCCCAGAGTCAAAACAAAGCCTGCCACCAACGTCATTGACGCCAGACAAATGCAATTTGAATTTATTTAAATAAATATAAAATTTGGGTCAATTTTCTTTCTCTCTTGCATTAGTGATTAAATTTTTTTAATATTGTTTTTAAATTTCACAAGGGCGAATTTACATTCCGTTTCCTGATTTTAGTGGCGGTGATTTATAATGTTCGTAAGGGCAAATTTCCATAACCAGAAATTACACAATGCAGGAGTCCAGTGTAACAAGTAGGTGAAAATCACTAAGAGTCTTCACTCTATATCTCATTACAGTAACTGCAAGCCTATGAATATAATAATTTCAAAAATTAAGAAAAACATTATTTTCCAACAAACTCGGAGGAAATACATCAACTGACCTCATCTGGCAATTGTGGAACTTCCTTTTTCCGAGGAGAAGTAGCATTAACACGAATCTGGATGGTTGCTGATTCCCCATCCTCTCCTGGTTCTTTCTTAATTCGTCGAAGTAGAGGATCACGGACTTCTGATTCCTCACCCTCAGGAGTATCTTCAATTACCTGTGGGTTAGATATATAACTGCAATTGCCATATGATTAAGAAATATAACTTCAATGCAGGTTTTGAATTGTATACAGTTTACAATACTACAGTATGTGTAGACAGAACTGTATATATGTTCAATAGACAACAAAACTTCATGTTTGGATAATCATTAACATACAGAACATTTACTTAAGTTCAGTTTAATGAAAAACACAATTAAGAAACACTTACTTCTGTAACATGTTCCTGAAGCCGCTGGGCACCTTCAAGAAGGCTGCTATCTACTGCTATTACTTCCCCATCAGCAGACAAAATATGTGCCTTGCCATTTTCAGTGATCATTTGACCTCCTGTATGTAAAATACTTCCATTGCTATCTGTTGCTATGCTTCCATCATGATTCATAATTATGTGACTTGACTCAGCAGTCATAATTTCTCCACCATCACCAAAAATGTGGTGGTCATGAGTCATTAACTGCCCAGTATCAGCAGCTATGATGTGGCCAGGTTCACCTGTGAAGATTTGTGAATCACCATTGCTAGTAATGAGGCGTGTTCCCTCAGAAGTGGCAATGATCTGTACCATGTCATCAGTAACTATTTGGTCTGCTGATTCATCAGTTTTAACTGAGGCAAGGACCTGCATTGGATTCCCATTGGCCTGGCCTGTTTTACTGTTTCTGATGTCAGTTTCCACATTCGTAATCATAGTAACGCTGTCTGAAGATGTTATAATGTGGTTTGATGTGTCTGTTACATGGTTTGCTGTGGAGGTTATCAACTGGCCTGTGTCCTCTGGCTCCTCTGTTATCATAGGCATACTGTCCACCACAGAGAAACTTTCCACAACACTTTCCATTTTTCAGTATCTGCAAAATAAACAATGCAATATAGTATATGAATTATAAAATTAATGTATAACAAGAAAAAACTATTTCCAAATAATATCTATATACAGGGGGTATTTTTATTTTTCTGTTGGCCATTACTGGATGAATATAAGGGTGGACCAGTTTGTGTTGACTACAGTTGTAGTATCAAGCAGTGACAAACCCAATATGACTAAACATTTTTCCCAAAACACAATCCAACCAATTCACATCCAGGTTTTGCAATCAAAGTTGTGCATGCAAGAGCAAATCATGAAAAGCAACTTCTCACCTGTAAGGTGTGCCACTACATCACTGTTTTAATTTAGTCTACAGCATGTCACAACTGCCTTCTCAAAATAATATATATGCTCTTCTCAACACCAGTCTATGTACACCTCTTTATATTATCCCTGACACAATACAGTACACACATTGTTACGCTCTCCTTCCACGTTACACTCAGTCATTATATAGTACAGTACCTATCCTAATCAAATTAACATTTAGAACTGACTATAGCCATCATGTGATATAACAATAGTTTCCATATAATACAATAAAATATAAAATAACTTTCTACAATATTTAGCATGTGTATGTAGCCTAGGATCACAAAGTGTGTAAACCTGACCATTGAGCAGCCTCTGACTAATAATGGGATGTACCCAGTACTGTTTTTACATTTCTCCTTTCACTTTTGCAGTACAGTAGTGCACAAATACATAACATAAGAACATAAGAACATAAGAAAGTGGGATACTGCAGGAGGCCGACTGGCCCATACAGGGCAGATCCCTTTCACACCCATCCCAGCACTTCCATGTGCCTATCCAACTTCGTCTTGAAGCTCCCTAGCGTCCCCGATCCTACTATAGCACTCGGTAGCCTATTCCACATATCCACAACTCTATTACCAAACCAGTGCTTGCCTATATCCTTTCTGAATCGGAATTTATCTAATTTAAAGCCATTTGTTCTAGTTATTTCGTTATTACTGAGCTTCAGAACACAGGTCCGCACTGGCTGAGGGTCAGAGGGTCACATGCCACCTATTCCAAGTTGACACTGCTGGCAGAAGGCCATATGTGGCTACCTCAAAAAGTGGCTCATATGCGGGGATTGGAAAATATCTTCTGCCACTTTTTGTGACCCCTACATGCAGCACTAGGGTGTTTAATCATCAGGTTAAATTTGTTGGCACTAATCAATTCAAGGCCTTTTACTGTATGATATTGCTACCTAAATTAGGTTAAGTAAGATTACTGTACTTTGGTTATTGTGATGTTATTCATTTATAGTTTTTATAGTATTATGTTTATCTGCATGAAGTCTCTATATACTGACTACAATACGGTAGTTTGAATTAAAAAAAAATTAATCCTGGAGCAGATGGTTAAAACCCAGAAAGCAGTGTTTGATTTCGTTCATTTTTTACACAGATGTTCTTTCGATGATACGTAGTAATAAAAATGATGACAATATACACAGAACCAAATAGAACCTGGTCTAACCAACAAAAGAAATATACCTAACCTTACCTAACTTCCTTTCTGAGAGGCTCCGATCTCCAGATCCCCCACCATATTAAACAGAAAGTTCTTATTTTGGTATCTGGTACCAATGAAACCAACTTTATTGAAGTGTCATGGTGTAATTTCACGTTTTTTTATCCAGTACCTAGCATCATTATTTGGGAATCTTCCCTATTTAGTGTAAAATACATATGGTGGTACTTGTACAGTATCCATGGTTCAAACTACAGCCCAGGTCAAATGTAAGAAGGTTATCCAGTGTTACCCTAACAAACATCATAGGTTTCCTCCGTGACTAAGATTATACAATGGTCATAATAAAGAAAGAAGACTGTCCACCAACATGGCTCGTACACTGATGTGGTAGAAATTATAAATATATAAATGTTTTTTCTTCCTCTTGACTTAAGCTGTACAGCTAAGCACTTAAGAACATAAGAACATAAGAAAATAAGGAGTCTGCAAAGGGCCGGTTGGCCTGTGCATGGCAGCTCCTGTCGAGAGTTACTACCACTCTCTATCATCCATGAATCTATCTAGCCTCCTTTTGAAACTTTCCAGAGTTCCCGCACTTACTACAAAGTTGCTAAGCTTGTTCCACTCGTCCACCACCCTATTTGTGAACCAGTTTCTTCCTATCTCCTCCTAAACCTAAACTTATCCAACTTGAACCGTTGTTCAGTCCTATCCTGCTCGGATATTATAAGAACTTTATCTATATCCCCTTTATTGATTCCTTTCACCCACTTAAATACTTCTATCATATCTCCCAGACTCTTCGTCTTTCTAGGGAATGCAAGTTAAGTTTCTTTAACCTATCCTGATATGGTAGGTTTCTAAGTCCCGAATCATTTTCATTTTTCGCTGCACCGACTCTAGTGAATTTATATCCATTCTATAATAGGGGCACCAGAACTGAACCAGATAATCGAGGTGCGTCAACTAGCGCAAGATATAGTTGCAATAAGACCTCTGCACTCTTGTTACTTACACTTCTAGATATAAACCCAATACTCTGTTTGCCTTATTTCGAACATTAACGCACTGTTTTAGGCCTTAGGTCCGGCTTACAAGTACCCCTAGGTCTCTTTCACAAGTCGACTTCTAGGTTGATGTTGTTAAGGCTGTATACATTATAAGTATTTGTTCTTCCAATTTTAAGTATGCTGCACTTGCTGGTGTTGAATTTCTTGCCATTTTTCAGACCACCCCTGCAGTTTATTTAGATCCTCCTGTAATGCATTTGCATCCTGCCCTGAATTAATTTGTCGCCTCTATTTTGGTGTCATCCGCAAACTTGCTTATGTCACTGCTGATCCCAGTATCTAGATCGTTTATGTAGATTATGAACAAGAGGCCTAGTACTGACCCCTGGGAACCCCACTGGTTAGCACGCCCCACTCAGATTTAACACCATCTACGCTGACCCTCTGCGCTCTCTATCGTGAGCCATGATTTTATCCAATTTAAAACTTTCCCCTCGATACCATGAGCCTTAATTTTTCTCAGAAGCCTCTGATGCAGTACTCTGTCAAATGCTTTGCTAAAGTCTAAGTAAATAACATCGTATTTTCGTCATTATCTACTACCAAGACTTTCCTAAAAAATGTTAGCAGATTTGTTAGACAAGATTTTCCTTTGTAAACCCATGTTGAGAGTCGTAGATTAATTTGCTTTTCTAGATGCCATCGGATGCTATCTGCTATAATTGATTCAAGAAATTTCCCACTGACGCCAAACTGATCGGCCGGGTAATTTGACGCTGATGCTCTGTCTCCTTTTTGAATATGGGTACTACATTTGCCTGTTTCCACAAGTCTGGCACAACTCCAGTGTCTAATGATTTTGTAAATAAGTTTACGAGGGTCCGCTAATCTGTCCCTACACTCTTTCAAGACTCAAGGAAAATTTCATCCGCCCTGGGATTTTGTTTTCTTTAGTCTATTTATCTTTCTTTAGAACATCCTCTTTTCTGATAGTGATATTCTTAATTTCTCTTCTTCCTTTTCCTTAAATATCAGTTCCACCTCTGGAATTTCATGGCAAATTTCTTCTGTGAAACTGATAAGAAGTAGCTGTTCAATGCTTTCCTTATTTCTTCACTACCATTTATCAATTCTCCCCTCCCTGACTTTAAAGGCCCAACTTTGTCCTTGACCTTTGGCCTATATACCTGGAAAAATCCCTTGGGATTTGCCTTGGATTCTCTTGCTATTTTTATTTCATAGTCTCTCTTTGCTTTCCTTACATTTTTCTTAACATTCCTAGATAGTTCATTATACCTATTTCTGTGCTGCTCCTCCCCTCCCTTTAATTTCTTATATATTCCTTTCTTTATTCCTATGTCATGTTTAAGTTTCTGGTCATCCACCTTGGCTCATTCTTATTTGACCTCATTTTGAAAACGTTTTTAATGATATACTGTATACATCAGCACCCCAATTCTTAATATCTTTTCATGTTGAATTAAGAATGAAATGCAAAATTTACCTCATCAAAGACTCTTCCAAAGTTATTGCTATTGGGCTAAATCTCATGGCATCTGGGTTTAAGAGTTGTTGGTGTCCATGAAGCAATGCCTTTCTCTTTTAAAGGGATAGAAAGTTACACTAGCCATGGGGTATAAACTCCCAGACAAGACTTGCATGTACTGTACTGTATGACAGCCTTCAATTGTGACTGCTGGCCAAGAAGTAAAACAATTCCTTTCCTATTCATTAGTGTTTACCCAATATACAGTATACACGTCGGAGCTCAATTTATCACCAGTTTACCAAGTTGGGAATACAATAAAAAATAAAACTACCTTTTAAACTTCTAGGTAAAATTACTTTTACTCATCAGACGAACCCAATAAAACACCCAGGCGACATAACAAATAGACCAGTTATTAAGGTTAGTAAGGCAAAATAACACATATGATAGAGCACTGTATTCCAAGCTGCCAGACCACCAGGAATGATAGTAATAGACAGTTCAGGTGGTGGTAATAATCTCTTGCATTATGGGGGGGATCCATGTGTTTACCTCCGCCATTTTTGTTGGTTACTGCGCCGTTCACCTTAATAACAGCCTCTAGTGGTTGGCACCCATCCCCAAATGCCATCATTATTGAGGATTGAGAAAAGCACAATCGGTCAGCTGAGAATGAAAACAAAACTACAGAGATAATAAAAGAGAATCGATTATTTGACCTTCATTTGTTCACCGCTGACGAAACACAAGACTAACGGCGACTGTATAACTAAAAGCCAAATTTGCCTCTCACTGGGCCTTTATTTCGAATATGTCTTATTGTATCCTATGTATTACATGTCTACGAAGGAATATAAGATACGAGGGTAACCAGGTAAATGGTCTACAGCGTAAAATAACTCACAAGAGAGGAAGATATGGCCGACGCACAGAGTAGTCACGAAGGTGGAAACGAAGAATCGCGCATGACGTCACCATAG